TTTTTTTTTTTTTTTTTCCCCTAGAGATGAAGGTCTCACTGTGTTGCCCAAGCTGGTCTGGAATGCCTGGCTTCAAGTGATACTCCCACCTCTGCTTCCCAAAGTGTTGGGATTACAGATGTGACCTACTGCATCCGGCCAATTTTCTTTTTTAGCATTATTCTCACTTGGCATTAATATCAAAGTTTTATTTGCCTTATAGAATAAATTGGGGAATGTTTCCTCCAATAATCTGTTCTTTGAAAGTTTGTTAGAATTCCGTTGTGAATATCCCTGGGATTGGTATATGCACTTTCAGTCAAATTTTAACTATTAATTCAACCTTCAATTTCTTTAATGTTTATATGATGGTTCAAATTTTCTATTTTCCCTTTAGTCAGTTTTGGTAAATGACATTTTCTACTATCTTGTCTATTTCATCTATGTTTTCCAATGTATTACCATAATGTTTATAGTATATGCTTATCTTTTTGTCTCAGCTAATGCCAGATCTTGTTTATTTGGGCAATGTCTTTTTTATTTCTCTCCATTCCTCTTGCCAGAGGTTTCTAAATTGTTATCATCAGAAGAACCAACACCTGATTTTCTCAAAGAACCAACATTTGGCTTTGTTGATACTAATTGCCAGGCACTATTCTGAGTGTTTACACATATTAACTAATTTCATGTGGTGTGTATAATGCTTTCTCATTGGAATTTCCTTATCTTTCATATTTTCCATCTCCTTGTCTCTGTTTTGCCTTCTGGATAATGTCTTCAGATCTGTCTCTTAGTTTACTCATCTCTCTCTAATTTGATGCTTAACAAGTATATTGAGTTTCAATGATTATAGTTTTCAATTCTAAAAGTTCTATGTGGTTTCTTTCCAATCTGCCTGATCAATTTTTATGGTCTCTTGGTCTTTGTTCAGTTTTTAGTTACATATTTTTTTTCTGTAAACACTTCATACTTTATATTTTATATCTGACAGTTCCAGTAACAGAAATTCATATGATTCTAAATCTGTATTTAGATAATTCTGTTGATCTCACTCAGCGAAGCTTGTTTCCTGGCGTGTTTGGTAATTTTTTTTATTGTGAATTTTTTATTGTGTGTGTGTTTTTTTAATTGGTTGAACATAATCTGTAGGGATCCTGGGAGCATAGATTGGTGATGCTTTATTCCAGAGAGAATTTGTGTTTGCTTTTTTCAAGAGCCAGAGGCTGTTACCACACTAGATACATTTAAGCTCTCTTGAAAGAATCAGGGCTTAAGGCAAGAGTCTCAGATTTAGCTTCCCCATCTCACAGAGAGCTCTAGGCTTAGTGTGCGGATTCCAGGGCTGGTACTCACACTGTCTCCTCTGGTTACATTTGGTGACTGTTCCCAATCTACTGTCAATTTAGTATTTTCCTCCCATCCCCCCACCAACCTTAGAGAGCCTTTATTTTCATCTAAGCCTAGCAGTGCATAAAACTATGTTTATTGTAATTTTCTTAAGACCTAGTTATATTACAGAGGAGGAACCTTCAGAGGAACTGATATGCCATACTTCTTGAAAAGAAATTGAGTTCATTTTTAATCTTTGGATCATATCAAGGAGAAAGTCTGAATTATGTATTCTTGTGTGAATTATGTGTTGTTATGTCTTAAACACCTCTTTAACACCTGTTAAGAGTCAGAGACTACACCAGCAACAGTATCTAGCTAGAATGTAATACAATTGTTTTGTTTGCATTATCTTTATCCTATGGTTTCATTCTATTATGGCAAGTGATACTGGTTTTCCACTTACTATAGAGATAGGAAGTTTCCTTTAAGGAGGAAGTAATATATATATGTACAAACTAATTTAATGCCTGGCCCATTTATATACATATACATATGTGTGTGTATATATACATATATGTATGTACATGTGTATATATACACATATACGTATATGTGTATATATGCATACATGTGTATATAGATGTGTATATGTATATACCTACATATGTGTATAGATGTATATGTGTATATATGTATATGTTTATATATGTATATATGTATATACAGATATAAATGGGCCGGGCATGTTGGCTCACACCTGTAATCCCAGCACTTCAGGAGGCTAAGGTAGGTAG